GGCCATTCTCTTATTTGGCAGAAAGGGACCTCCAAAAAGGAAAACATTTATATAATTACTAGGAACACACACATTTGGAGATGAATGAATTAGTCAATGAATGATACTAAGATAGTCACTTAACTATTTAGGAAATGTTAATGCTTTATTTCATTCCATACACTTGATGAAAACTTAGGTGTATGCTATTATTTCTGGTAGATCTTAAAAAAAATTCTAATTAATATGAGGGCTTTTCTAAACTCAGTGGACTCTGTTTCCTTCTTCTCGACTTTAATGTTAACTGCCATCATCACTGCTTAGTTATTAAAGACCTTAACTCTTAGTGTACAGCATTTCTCTCTCCCACTAATTCTTGCGAACAACTTTAGTGGCTTCTTTCAAGATGCATTAAAATGATTCCTCTAATTAACTGGACTTAGTTTATTGATCTCACTCTAATTATCTCTTACTACATTCTATTACCAGCATAAATTATACAGCTTTCAGTATCTATGTTAAAACATTGCTTTTTTTCTCCCACCTTCACTTGGGGCTCAGTCAATTAACTTGTTATGCAATTCTTGCTAAGATAGTCAAACTTAGTTGAGGTTCTACTTTGTTGACACGACCCCTTTCTATCCATCACCTCCCTTCTATGTAACCTCTTCTCCTTCGACTAGATTCCATGGTCCACCCTGATCATATCTCGCTTGAAAAAGGCCTTCAGTTTGCTTGTAGGTCTCTCATATGACTCACTGGGAAAACATTACTCTGTTTTAACCCCAATCTACCATCTTGGCATCTACATCTTCAAAAACATGAGAGAAGAAACACTATACAACAAACAAATTGGCTCCCTTTTAAGTCTGAAAGCACTGTCTAGCAATATTATTATGGTTTTCCAGTTTTTCCATTCCTGTTGTCTTAGATGATTATTTCATATTTGCTTTCTTAAAAGTCCCACACCCTACTCTGTCTTTCAGTTGTAGCTAATTTCTTCATGCGTCCTTGAAAGAAAAGGCTTGCTTGCCCCACATGAGAACTTGCACCATCCCTTCACCAGCTTTGTTGAAGCATCTGCTTCAGTGTCCTCTTTCTTCTCTCATGTTACGTTGAAGAAAACCTCCTTCTTGTGAAAGACGTCTTCTGTTGCAGGTGCCTACACACGGTCCTTAACTGCTGCTGCTTTCTTCCTTTTCTGTATCTCTATCTCTGATTCTGTTAGACTGGTTCCCATAATGTGCAGGTAAGCTAACATCTTGTGTTTGAAGCAAATGCCTTCCTATAAAATAGCTGATCCCGAAAAAAAATTAGATGCTAAGTAAAAGAAAAAAAATGGCTGACAACTGTACAAATCTTTATTTTAAAAAAACCCAACTTAAAATGTGAAAATAGTATTTCTTAACATATCCTCTATCTAATTCTATATACTTTTCAAAGTAGTTTTTCTATTTTGAAGGGTTTTTAACCCTTCCCTGAAGAATTCTGTGCTTTTTTATATACACAGCAGCACTGCGAACTTCATGGGACTGAAATCATGTCCCTTTTAAAATTTCTTTGAGTTTAGGAAAAAAAAAATTAAAGGGGCAAGCTCTTGATTGTACGATCAGTGGAGGTATTGATTGCTACCAAAATTCTCATAGGATATCCCTGCGCCCTCAGCTTCTTCCCCAGCATTCAAAAATGTAAACTGAAAGTCATTGTTGCCCCCCAAATTTTAAAGATTAAGAAAATATTGTTAAGATTATGGCAAGGGAATTCACAAGCTACTGTGATAGTCTTATTGGAAAGCACCGTGGCAGAGGTTCCCAGATTTGTCCTCATTCGCGGCACATTTATAATCTCAGTGCTTTTTGCATCCCATTCTTATGCCAATAGAATTATCTAAAATAGTCACTTTAATAAGTACTTTTTTCCGAATAAGAGTAGCTTTTCAAGTTGTGTTGAATAGCTGGTGCTGTTTTTCTTTCAAAAATATCAAATATTCCTTGAAATATGATGAAGAACCTTATTTAAGAAATGCTGTGATATGGTGATTCTTCTAGGAATCTTTCTTAAGAAAATGGATAGGAACAAAGGTCGGTGAACAAAATTTTTCTCTCAACCACCACCACCAAATGTTGGTATAATTACTGCAAGTAATCAAGTGTTCTTGTGAAGTTCATCCCAGACTTAAGTAACTGTCAGGCAGGTCTAGATACAGATTCCTTCCCTACAGCGGTTACAGAGCATCTTTCTGGACTGCATAATAAAAGCAGTCCTGGTGAGGTTTTTCTGGTTTGTTTATTTTGGGTTTTTTTAGTTTGTTCTTTTACGAGACTCAGAACCCCCCAGGGGCAAGTCCATTCTGTGCAAGTAGGGTCGTGAGTTGGACTGAGAGTGACAGCAGTCTCTGTAAAGGTTTTATTGCTTAGCATTTGGTCACGACTGACTGAGTTCTCCCTTCCTATTTCTCAGAAAGAATAAGTAGGTTTTTTTTCTTTTCCTCCATTTGATGACGATTTGATTTTAAGATTAAGTTGGTAGTTGTTGACAAGCAAGAGGCAGTTTTGAGAAACCAGCACCTGGGCTGCAGTCCTATTTCTTGATACTATGCGGTGTAGAGCAGGTTGTCAGACTTTTTCTGTCCTGGCAACTGAGAATAATAATGGCTGCTGTAGCATTTCAGAACGGAGGCTGGGACAGTATTTATGAAACTGTTTATAAATATATATTTAATTAATATTCTAAAATTTTAATTCTTTTCAGTTATGAATATTATTTTCCATCTAGCTAATAATCTGTGGACTTCATTTTTCTTTATGAATATTATTTTCCATCTAGCTAATAATCCATGGACTTCATTTTTCTTTGCATAGTCCATGTTATTTTTCTAATAGGCTATAAGAACCACGATAGAGAGTCAAGATGGCATCCAGGTAGAATTACCCACCCAGCACTCCTGCTGCCAGACTTGAAAATTAAGATATAGGCAAGGGAAGCAAGCTCGAGGAGAAAGCAATGGGACTAATGGTCCCGGAGGGACTTGGGGGAGAAGGAGAAGGGAGAAGGGAGTGGTGAGCAAACAACGCCACAGACAGGGAACAACTAGGGAATTTAAAACAACAACAAGGATGTAGGTATCCTGGGGGTGTTGGAGCAACAGCAATCTAGCTGAGAGGAAATATTAAGAGGCGGAGTAGGGTGTACATATGTTAATAGATTAATTTGTAAAAATAGAGGTATTGGCCCATGTACATATATTTATATGGCAATACATTAAGGTTGTAGATGGACTTTGGGCCTCTGCTCAAGCCCTCCCTCAATGCAAGAACACTTTGTTCTAACAACCTGGCTCATCTTCCTGGAACCATCGCTAAGACAAAGCAGGTACATAAGCAAATGTGGTGAAGAAAGCAGATGATGCCTTGCTATCAAAAGATATAGTGTCTGGGTTCTTAAAGGCTTGACGTTAAACAAGTGGTCAGCTAGCAGAGTAGCAACAAACCCACACAGAAGAAGCACACCAGCCTGTGCCATCAGGAGGTGTCACTGGGATTGGGTAACAGGCATCAGAAGATCATAAACAAACAAACAAAAAAACTATATTGCTGAGAATGAGGGGGATCAGAGCAGAGACCCCAAAGCCCATCTGTAGACAATGGGACATCCCCTCACAGAGGGGTCAAAGGGAAGGGACGAGTCAATCAGGATGCAGTAAAGCACTGATGAAACACACAATACTCCTCTGGTTCCTTGAGGCTTCCTCACCCCCACTATCATGACCCCAGTCCTGCCTTTCCCTGTGGGCTAGACTGAAATATTTGCATAGGTAGAGATAAGACATGAAAGTTCACAGCACACGGAATCCAGGAACAGGAATTGTGAGTCGTGATAGCAGGAGGGCAGGGGAGAGGTGGGGAGAGGTGGGGATGACAGGGGAACCTGTCGCGATGATCCACACTTAACTGCACACTCCTCCCACAAGGGGATGAACAGCAGAAACTGTGGGAGAAGGGAGACCCCGGTTGGTGCAAGATAAGAAAATAATAATTTATAATTTATCAAGGGGCCACGAGGGGGGCAGGAAAGAAGTGGGGGAAGAGGAGCTGACACCAAGGGCTCAATAAAAAATAATGATGGCAACTTATGTACAAATGTACTTGATACAGTTGATGTATGGATTGTTAAAAGAGCTGTAAGAGCCCCCAATAAAATGTTTTTTTGAAAAGTAAATAAATAAAAACAAAAGCCAGGATAACTTTTATTTCATTGGTAAGGAATTTGACTGTGAGTGAGAACTTAAGTAAATTGTACAAGTTTCTGAGTTAAGTCAGATATATGTGGTATGGGAGCTCGTAGTCTTAGCACACAAACTTTGTGCTGGGTAAATGGTGAACACGCGGTCTTACCACATGTCACACACTAAGCTCAACACTTTGAATGTGATTTCGTTGAACTGTTCATTAGGTGCTGCTTCATCCTGCCTTATAGGTGAGACTGCAGCTCAAACATATTAAGCTAGTTTCCTAAATTTACATTATATAGAGAGTGAAGTGGCCGAGTCTAGATTTTTAACCCAGGCATTCGGATACTATAGCCTTTGAACTGCCCTTCACTCGGTTACACTGTCTTCTTTTGGTATTCTAGGTATCCTGGTTCATGAAGATTGACTAAATATGTTTAGCTAGTCTCATTAACGGAATATTTTTACTCAGTTATAAATACAGCAAAGCCTTTTATTTATATGGTCGTATAATCACGTGTGAAAATACATAATCAAGGAAGAAACAGATTAAAACAGAATTCTCCAGATCCGTCACATCAGATAAATTGTTCATGGCTTTCTAAAACAGTCTTTTTTCCTTTTAAAACTATGGACCGTCAGTAATAATTAAGCTATTGTTGCTAGATAAAGTTGCCCTTGCTGTCTGGAGCCATTATCTTATTTGTATTCCCTCTGAATCTTCTTGGGCTTTAGAAAAGAAACATAATGTAACATGATGCAGATTGGCAATGTTTCCCATCTTTCCTTCCAGGCTTTCTTTAGTGGACAACTGAAGGCAAAAGGGAACATCATGCTGGCCCAGAAACTTCAGACGATTTTTAAAGATTACGCCAAGCTTTGAAGAGCACACTGGATTATTAATTAAAATGAAAGAATTAAACTCTTTCTTTACCAAAATATGCTTGATTAGTCAGCAAAAGTGAAACAAACTAAGATATAGTTGAAGTAGCTTAACATTTTCAAATTTCAGATAACTATAGATTTTCATTTTTGCTAATTTTTCATGTATCATTTTAAAAATGTAAAGTAGAATGTAATTATGCTTTTGTTCTTAAATCTCTATCTTCATAATAAAAAATTTCACCGCAGTTTCGTCTCCTTTGAATTTATGGTAATATTTATAAGTGAAAGAAGAATCAAGTGAGTAAAATCCATTTTTATACCTTTTTTACTTATTTTCTTTGTATACTTTCTGTTCTCTTATTTATTGAGTCCAGTGTTGATATATGTAATAATTTTTCATACTTTGCTAAAATAGATAACATGCTGATTTAAGGCAAGAGAAAGGTATTTGTGCTTCCAAATATTTCCTCTCCATTGCAGAAATTCTTTACTTTTATAAAATGTTTGTAAATATGCCAAGTGTCAAGTTTTCGTGCTTAATCAGTAGTCTTAATAATGGTGGTCATTAGCAAATATTGTATCATTATTTTGCCTAAAATCTAGCTCAGATGATAAAATGCTCTTGATGGAGTTGGTTGCAGAAGCGATCACTATATGGGATACTGAAGTCAGGGATGGAGGAGTAAATTCAATCATGAAGCCCACCGATCTACAAAGTCCTCCTCAAGTTCACAAAACACACATGATGACACTGACTGCAGTGTGTAAGCATCTCAGCGCTGGCAGGGATCTCCACGCAGCTGCTCCAGCACCCAGGGTGACATCAGGATAGGTTCATGTGGCTTCTCCTCAGGGCTGTCTCACAGGAAGTGAGCCTTGTTGGCTGAGGCAGAGAACTAGCTAAGGCAGCCGCAACTGGTCTGACCATGAGAGAGCAAGAGACCAGAGAACCACAAAGCCAAGGCTCACCAAGCCATTTATTGCTCTGCCCTTCAATTAATCCCACATGTGTTTATTGGCCAGGTTGGCACAATAAACTTTAATCATCACACATGTCTTCTAAAATGCAAATATGTGGATACTGAAGGGTCTTGGGGAGTGCTGAGGTCTCCACCTATACCCTATGCCCTACATTGACTTAGAAAACATTCTTTTTTAAAAAATAAGTCATTTTATTGGAGGTTCTTACAGCTCTTATAAAAATCCATGCGTCAATTGTATCAAGCATATCTGTATATATGAACCCCTGATAAATTATAAATTATTGTTGTTTTCATGTCTCCCTTCATCCACCTTTTCTTTATTCATCCTCCTTGGGGGCGGGGTGGTGGTGTTATACATCAATCCTTGTGATCGGTTCCTCTTTCCTCCCCCTTTTCTGCCTGCCACCTTCCCCCCCCCACCTTCCTCCTACCCTCATGGTATCCTTACTCCCATTACAGTACCTGGGGGGAGGAAGTGGCGGTTATCTGTTCTGGATTCAGTGTGTCGAGAGCTCCTATCTGTACCAGTGTACATGCTCTGGTCTAGTTGGGTTATGTACAGTAGAACTGAGCTAATGATAGGGTGAGGAAGCATTAAAGAACTAGAGGAATATTGTGTGTTTACTGCTCTCTGGCTGACTCGTCCCTTCCTTGCAACTCTTCTGTGAGGGATGTCCAATTGTCTACAGATGGGGTTTGGGTCTCCACTCTGCCTCACTCATTCACATCGGTATGATTGTTTTGGGTTTTCTGATTCTTGATATCTGATCCTGTTGACACCTCGTGATCACACAGGCTGGTGTGCTTCTTTCATGTGGGCTTTATTGCTTCCCTGCTAGATGGTCACTTGTTAACTTCAAGCCTTTTAGACCCCCCAGACACTGTATCTTTTAATAGCCGGACACTTATCAGCTTTCTTCACCACATTTGCTTCTGCACCCATTTTGTCTTCAACGATTGTGTAGGGAAGATGAGCATCACAGAATGCTAGGTTATTAGAATAAAGTGTTCTTGCATTGTGGGAGTACTTGAGTAGAGGTCCAATGTCTGTCTGCTTCCTTAATACTTAACATATATATAAATATATGTATATAGGCTTACATCCCTAACATTATATATTGATATAGTCACATATATACATGCCTATATGTATGCCTCTATAAATGTCCCAGTTCTTCCCTCTATTTCCTTTTACTTCCCTCCTGTCCCACTATCCTGTTTGACCTTCATTTGGCTTTCAGTAATTCCTCTTGGCTACAGTGTCCTTGATGAAACCCCACCAGGTGTTCTACTCCCTCCTCGCCATCGATTTTAGATCTCCTATTGTTCCTGTGTCCCTGGGTTTGTTGGCTCTTCCTTCCCTTTCTCCCACCTCTCTCCCCTGTCCCACAAGAACTGTCCGTCTGTTGTTTCCTCCTTGAGATTGTTTATCTTGCCTATCTTATACTGATAGACATGAAAGAAAAGATGAAGAAGAAGAAAAAATGGCCTATAAATAGTTCCAGGTCTGTCTGCTGACCCTTATATATGTTTCCAATAGAGTCTGATGAGGTGCCAAGTGCTGCCCTCTGATTCTGAAGCCTATTTTCAGGATTCCTCGGGGAGTTCATTGCTTTGTTCCCCTAGCTGCTCTGTTATGCTCTCTTTGTGTTTCACCCCGGTGTGTATGTGGGGGCAGTGTGGTGGTGAGGTGGGAGAGGGGTTGTCAGACGGCACAATTCATGTTCTGTCTTCAGTGCTGTCCACTGCAGTGCGTTGGGTCAGTAAGGGGACATGGTGTCTCATGGTGGGGCCGGCACAATGGTCCTCTCTGTGCCTTGGCTGCTCCCAGCAGGAGTGTTGTCCTCAGGGCTGGTGGGCCAGGATTTGGTTCTCTCTCTCCCTCTTAGTTTGCTCCCATGTGGTCTGTGCAGACCAACCACTCTCCCCAGGCTGTATCTTCAGCACTGTCCTCTGTAGTGCAATTTTCTGGGGATGGGGTGGCCCCTCAGACCTCTCTGGTTTCCGCTGCTTCATGCTGGCAGGTTGCCCTCAAGGCGTGGTGTAGTAGGTTAAGGACTGGTCCATTTCTCCCTTTCCTGTGGAGACCTAAACAATAGCCTCCCCATTGGTGGGTTAGTGTCCTGTTCCCCCACTATTCACGTCTTCTTTTTGTTGTTTTGCTTTCCCCCTCCTTTTTATTTGGCTGCCATGGGTTGGGTCTGACTCCTGCCAGAGTGTCTGGGCCTCCCCCTGGGAATGTATGCACTTAGTGGCTTTTCCCCTATGTCCCTTGTGTTTTTAAGCTTACCTCTGTGGACTCGTGTTGTACTTGTCCTTTTGTGCTTGGCTTACTTCGCTTAGCATAATTTCCTTCAACTCTTCCCCTGAAACAATGTGCTTCATGTGTTCATAACTGCTTTTTAGGAATGTGCAGTATTGTATGTATGTACCACAGTTTTTTAATCCATTCTCCTGTTGATGGAAATTTAGGTTGTTTCCAAATCTTTGCAATTGTGAACTGCACTGTGGTGAACACTGGAGCGCAGATATCTGGCCGTGGTCTGTTTCTTACCTCATCTGGGTAAGGATTGCTGTAAGGAGGATTGCTGGGTCATATGGTAGCTTGATTTCCATTTGTTTAAGGTATTGCCAAATCTATTGCCATAATGGCTGCACATACCTACAGGTCCACGAGCAGTGTATGAGAGTTCCTAACTCACCACATCCCCATCAATACTTGTTGCTTTCTCATTTTTTAAATTGGGCTTTCCTGGAGGGTGTTAGGTGGTATCTCATAGTTAAAAATAATTTCTTCTGGGAAAATTCCTAACTCCTCTCTTAGTAAGCTCACGTGTAGATTGATGGTCAGTTTATACACATTCTGTAATCATAATCCCCAGTATACATTTTTCACACATATCTATTTTATAACACTAATTAGGAGGGAATTGATCTCCATAGTAGAGTCACAACTAAGCACATACTCTCATTTATTATTAAATACTTTTATTGGGGCTTGTACAACTCTTATCACAGTCCATGCATTCATCCATGGAGTCAAGCACGTTTGTACATATCTTGCCATCATTTTCAAAGCACTTTCTTTCTACTTGAGCCCTTTATATCAGCTCCTCATTTTACCCCTCCCTTCTCCACCTGCTCTCCCTCATGAGCCCCCGATAAATTATAACTTATTATTTTCATATCTTACATCATCTGCTGTCTCCCTGTACCCACTTTTCTGTT